GGGAGGTGAGGTGCTAGGTCGGAATATAAGGTGTTTTTTTTTTATTAAGCATGATTTTTTTTGCTTCACACATTTTCAATGGGATGCAACCTTCCTATGGGGGTGTTGCACGCATCCCCTAGATAGGCAACTGGTGTTAATACTTCATTACTTTACTGCAGAGTTTAATAAATCTATATAATTGAAATGTTGTTAATTATTAATTTATACTGGTTTATGATATGTAAACTATAACCAGTGGCTACTTCAGAAATTTGCATGTGTCTGAATAAACAACCTTCAATATTTTAAAGAATTTAAACTTGTGAAAAGCTAACTAACTTTAAACACCCTTTTGATGTATATTAAATGTTTACACTCTCAATATAAAGCACATGGATAGAAATGTTGTCTGGTATACAGTAGGCCCATCCCCAATCGTGGGGAGGGGAAGGTACACTTATACCCGAGGAATCCCATTTAAATTATAAGGCTAAAACAGGGCTTGCCCTAAATTTTTTTGGTAACTAGCCCACTGGGCTAGTTTACTAGAGATTTTACTAGCCCACAGAATATTTTGCTAGCCCACAGACAGGAAAAAATTTGGTTTCAAAATATTTATTAGCAACAATTAAATTTGAAGGTTGATTTGCAATTTCATAATTTCTGTAGCATTGCTGTTTGAGCTACCCTCTCAAAATATTGTTGAATAAATAAATAAAAAAATCACCCATGATGCAAAATTGACTCTGGTTATAACAGGGACAGATGAGCATGTTTTACATCTCCCTGGTTATAACTTTGGCTTTCTAATATTTAACAAAGGGCCCAGAAATCAATCAAACTAATGCATCTGTTAAATCTTTAGGTCTCAAGTCACTCACCCCCAATGGCAATAAATCTTGCTTTGCTACCTAGGCTAGGCGAATACCCGACTAGGGCTAGGCTAACTAGACCTAGATAAGACCTAAGGCTTAGGCTAGCCTACCTATAGCATTGAAGTACTTATTATTAAAAGTTGAATATTTAAAAATAGCATTATGAGAAAATAATATGAATATAAGGTAGTACATTAATTTACATTAAACTACCTAAATTAACCAGATTGAACGATCAAACGATCTTCTATTGAGAGAAAGATAACATGCCATCCTGTTGTGGTTGGTGAATGACTTGGGGATCATCTTAATAGTTAAACACTCACGCATGTGGAGAGCTGAAAGCTTGCTAGAGTGTACTCTCTGGGCTGCGGTACCTCCTGTGCAGGGATTGTCTCGAAAGTTCCGCTTTTCTTTTTTTCTTTTTTTTTTTAAATAAAATGTTTTTCTTGCTAATTCTCCACTAGACAACCGGGCAACATGAGGAGTAAATAGGCTAGCCCGGAGCGGTTTTTACTAGACATTGTACGCCGGGCTAGTACTAAATCGAGCCCTGCTAAAAGGCAATTTTTCAGCACTGCCTGTCTAATTCAAAGCCATTTTCATGTTTTTTTTTTGTTTTTTTGTTTTTTTTTTCTGAAAGAACTTGTAAACAAATCAGCAAAGTGATCATATTCTGGGTTTAAGCCACAGGGAAGGCTGGTACATAGAATGGGATAAAGTAGGTAATAGGCTTGTACTGAGGTGAGCTAGTATACTAGGCACTACGGTATTCCTAGAGTACCAAAAAAGCGTTTAGATTTAAGTTTCATTTTTGTCTTCGAGGCAGTTAGTGTCTACTATATTTCTTCCTACAGTACTTTGCAAATTATAATATTTGCCTGAATTAATGTTATAATGTTCTCTTTGAAAAATTGGAATACATTTATATATCATAATTTTATACACATTACTTAGTGAATTACATCATTTTAACTTTTCTCTTATTTATTTGTAGGTTTTCTTTTGGACTAAATGGCGTTGTTGCAATTAAAATATTTCGGGATCTTAAGGTTACAGATTGTATTCACAATATGTTGCCTTTGGCCAGTTGTGTGTAAAAGCGAGATTCTTATCAGTGAGATCAATGCGGATAATCCAACGTATGATATTCGCGAGTTTATAGAATTTGTAAATAACGGAACACAAGCTGTAAATCTTTCAAGTTATACTGTAGTGCTATACAATGGTAATAATAATCAAGCTTATTTTGTTAGAAGACTAAGTGGGATGTTGCAACCTGGTGATTATTATTTGTTAGGATCAGGAAACGTACGACCTGTACCAGATATAATAATCTCGCAGAGAATCATTCAAAATGGTTTGGACGCAGTTGCGTTATATAAATCACCAACAGTGAATTTAATACGTGGATTGCTTGTAACAAATGAATCTCTTGTTGATGCAGTTGTTTACGATAATGGTGGTTTTACAGGCTCGCATACGTTACTTGATGTTCTCACGCCTGGACAGACCGCTGCTTATGAAAATGCGTTTGCTTCACCGGTCAATGATGAGTCTATTAGCAGATGTGATTGGTCAGGTGTCCGGAATTCATCATATTTTGCTGTAATGCCACTCTCTCCGGGAGCATCAAATCCGTGCAATGCGACAACACTTCAGTCTGTACCTTCAACACCTTCACCCAATGTGACAGTGTCACCGATACGTATATCTGAAATCAATGCAGATAATCCTGGAAGCGATTTTATGGAGTTCATTGAACTTTATAATAATGGAAATTCAGAAGTGAATCTTGATAACTATACTGTTGCGCTGTTCAATGGACGAAACAACAGAGTTTATCGCCTGTTCTACCTGACTGGTTATTCGGTTGCGGCTAACGGATACTTCTTGATTGGATCTTATCGTATTAATCCCTCACCAGACTATATTGTACCAAACGCATCAAATGCAAACTTCCTCCAAAGTGGTCCCGATGCCGTGGCTGTTTATTACGGGGATCGCAATCTCATCTCAACCGGTATGCGTACAAGTAGAAATCTTGATTTACTTGTAGATGCTGTTGTTTATGACAGACGCGCAGGACGGTTGTTGTCATTAACAACAGTTCTCACACCAGGCGAGGGCACTGTACATGAAGACAGGAATTATTTCAGTGGTGATGATGAATCAATAAGTAGATGCAGGGGCATGGATGCAAGAAAGGCATTTCCATTTAGACTGACCCCTGCCACTCCTGGTGCTCCGAATAACTGCACTTTACCAGAGCCGACACCTACTCCAACACCAACCAGTCCCAATAGTACGTGCGAGGAAATTTCTCAAAACAGGGTGTTCATTAATGAACTTCATATAGGGACTGATGGACCACAATACATTGAGCTCATTTTACCAGCTAAACAAAATATGGACAATTATATCCTTGCAATATTTAGAGGCAACTCTGGCTCTTTATATAGAACCATTCATCTTAGTGGTTACACACCAAGTGATATATTTTTTGTAATAGGTCACCCAAGTGATTCGTACACACCAGATGTTGTCATTGAAGGCTTCAGGTTTCCACGCCGTGGCATCAATGCTATTGCTCTTTATTCTGGTGATGCTAATACTCTAATTGGAAATTCAGATGTCACAACTTGTAATCTTCTCGATGCTGTTGTCTATGGTAGGTCTCTGTACCTTAACAACATTCTGCGCCAGACTTTGATACCAGGACAAGAACCTCTGACACTGCCATCAAACACCGATGTAGAAGTGTTGTCACTTGGACGATGTCGAGGATGGAAGCCTTCAATTTTAAGTTCATATAGAACGATGCCTTTGTCTCCAGGAATAGAGAATACTTGCCAGATTCCTCAGATTTATATTAATGAGATAAATATTTACGAGACTGCTGAGTCTGGACAATTTATAGAAATTTATGATGGGGGAGTAGGACATGTGTCTTTGGATGGTGTCGTAATTTTGGCCTACAGCAAATATTTGTTTTTTGGATCTGCTTTTGACTTGACAGGAGCGACTACTGACATAGATGGATTTTTTGTTGTTTCATCTGCGGGAAGCAATGTTAATTTAAGTCCACCACTGGGAGTGGCTCTTCTTTTGGGTCCACCAAATTATGAAGTTGCTTCAAAGATCAATGAAAAAATTGATGCTATTGTCTGTGGAAATGAAGGGGAAGTGAATTTGGATTTCCTTGAGAAGCTAACCCCCGGGCAAGACCAGGTTAATATTCCTGCACAGCCAGAGAGCATCAGTAGATGCGATACATCACAACGTCTAAGTAATGCTATGTTTGGACATGGGCCTCGTACTGAATGGGAATTGAATACCAACTGCACAAGGAATAACTTGACAGTTACTGAGACTTTACCTGTATATCAAAATTTGATCAGAATTAATGAAATAAATGTAAATCAACCAGGACACGATGCTGCAGAGTTCATTGAACTATCTGGCAATATTAATACAAGTTTAGATGGACTCAAAGTGGTGCTGTTTAATGGAAGGAATCGAGAAAAGTAAGGCCCTGTTCATACTATTAAATTTAAGCATGTGACATACCTAAATATGGTCATAATGACATCGCATCATGACCATATATACTGTAGGCACATCATGACTGTATATTGGCATACATTTTTGTCACAGAAAATTTTATAATCTGGGCAGATCTAAAGAAAAGTAAAGCATTACACCATTCTTGGTTTTTTGCTGCTAGCTAGCTGCTGCTAGCTAAATACTTATACTGAGGTTAAATTACAGGCTATGCTTACTCCAGTTTATGGAGGATGATCTGATGGCTTAAGCATTATAGACAGGGTATGCTTAGGACTATTTGTAAGCATCATACTATAATCAATTGATTTGTTTTATTTATGTCATATTATTTTGCCTGTGCTTGGGGAATTTAACTACTGCTGAGGTTTCCTAACAACATATTATATGTTTCATCCACTCCCTAAGTTTGGTCAGTCAATAGTATACAAATAATGAATGTTATGAGAGCAGTGGGAAGAATATTTTCATGAGTTGAAAGATTGACTGTTCCATTCGACGAGGCGGAACCGAGTTGAATGGAATAGTCAATCTTTCAACGAATGAAAATATTCTTTCCATTCAATTCAAAACATTTATTATTTGTCTCTAAAACTAATCAAAACATTGTATTAGTTTGAAGTCATATTGTATCCTAGGAACTGTGCAGTGGGCAAAAACGGATGGAAAGAAAATGCACAGTTGAAAATAATTTTTCATGGTGTGTGACAAAATGAGGTAAACAACCAATGTCCCGTGATACAAAATCCACCAATCAAATGACAGGGATCTATTTACATGTGTTGTGATAGGGAATATTTATGTGATTCTTCTACAGAACAGAATCACTATAACAACTCTTCGGTCAATCGACCTTTCAACTAAGCCCCGCCCCTTGGATATTGTTGATAAGGTCCCTCAAGACGACAGTGTTAAATCATACGCGAACACGTGCGTTTGTGGGACAACACGTGTGTTTGTGAGACGCGCGCGTATTCCTAGCGCTATTCTGATTGGTCAGTTGATAAGTTTGATTGACAATCCGGAAAGGTGTATTGCGTTTGTATGCCGACTCTAACAGCCTGACCTACTTGGTCCCACTCTCCCCATCCTTGATAATTATACTGCACTTATTGTTAAAGTTGCCTTAGAAATACAGGAGAGGTACCATGCATACATGCCAGGAGAATTTACCAAACCTCTCATAGGCTAAAATAATTTTTGTATGGTGTTCAATCAATTTAATAATGTGACGCATCAAAATAACTCACCACTCAACGTTGTGTTTTAATCGCCATGACACCTGGCTAAAATTGATTTTTAATTCTTCCAATACTTAAATGTGTATTACTAATTTATATTGAACTTTTTTTCTGAAAAGGGCTTACCGTGTTTTTGATCTAACTGGCTACCAAATGGACTCCTATGGTTTCTTTCTTATTGGTGCGCCAGTGAATGGTTCGCAACCACAGATAGAGGTTACAGATAGGGCATGGCTGCAGAACGGACCTGATGCTGTCGCTCTTTATCAGGTAAAAACACCCCTAAAATCTTGTTTCAAGCAAATGTTATTCTAACAAAAAATTTTTTCTTAATAGCATAGAAATGTGCTCTATGAAAGCCAAATAGGTCTGCTTTTTTCTGTTGCTGATAAGTATAGAAGCTTGAGAGAACCTTCCCAGATGCAGGTTAATTGGTGGGGGAAGATAGCCCAGGCCCCCCCCCCCCTAAATTGTTTTAATATATATAAAAAACTGTTGAAGAAAGGATATTATATTTAAATTAAATCCGAGAGTACCATTTCCTAACATCTAGAGGCACCATAAATAATTATACCAACCATTGTGGGGCTGATGTAGTCTAGACCTTTCATCCGTGAAAGTCCTGCCCTGAGCTCCCTCTATATATCAAATTTCTTGATTTTCCACCGCTTCTGTAACAAACATGGTGTCGGAGGTGGGAATTTTGGTTTTGTTTCTGAAAGTTTGACCACCAGATTTTGTTTAAATTTTGTGTATTACATTTTATTGTAGTATCATGTATGGGAACATTTGTAACAAAATTATTCGGATGTCTAGTGGTTACGACACCAGTCTAGTTATCTGGAGGTCGTGAGTTCGATTCCCACCTGATTCTCGTGTGATATTTTTTTCACAAGTGTTTGGTTATACTTCTTAATACATATTGCCTATTTCAGAATTCAGACATTGTTGTTGGTGACCAGGCCAACACCGTAAATATTATTGATGCTATTGTCTACGGCACAAGGCAACGTGTTGATCGCCGACTAATCCGGCTTCTGGTTCCGGGACAAAAGCAAATTATGGAAGATACAAATCATGTTGAAGGTGAGTTAAAATAATATGAATATTAGGACATTCCAAAGAAAATGGATGCATAACAGAGCTCAGTCGGCTAATCTGGTAGCCACTGTGTGTGTGCTAAACCGTGGAGATCTCTAGGTCCCCGGTTCAATTCCCATCGTTGCCTCTACTTGTGTGTCAGCTGGAGGGCTGAAATACAAGTTACAATAGCGTGCCATCTTTCAGATGATACGTTTAAGCTGTTGGTCCTGTGTGCATTTACAGCCCATGTGTATGTTAAAGAACACAGTACACTCTTCGGTAAAGAGTATGGGATTGTCTTCCGGTGTACTGCCCAATCACCACTAGAAGGACCCCACTGGAAATAAGCCTTCTTCTATACTTTCAGGGGCTATCCTTGGTGTTTACACCGAATAAATCCGATCAATCAAACCAATCAATAATAAATAAATTGTTTGAAGAATCATAAATAAATGACAGTGGCAAATCTAGGATTCCTAAAAATGGGGTGTGTGGGGGAGACTGATTAGGCGCGCAAAGCTGGAGTGGGGTGGAGGCTCAATGATAGTGATGGGATGCTAGGTCGCAAAATAATTTGATACAAGGTGATTTTTATTTTATTATTGGCTTTCTTTGCTTCGGATATTTTCAATGGGGAGGGGCCAACTGATGTACGGGAGCTTTTTGGAGGGGGGTGGGTGTGCGCACCTCCTAGATACACCACTGGTCTCTAAGTATCAGTAATCATTTTTTCCATAAAGTGTTACATTAAATTACTACAAATTTATTTCCAGGTGATGAAGCTATCCTACGATGTTTCTCACGCAAGGCTTTGGAACAATATGCTTTCGGTCTCGGTTATCCATCTCCTGGAAAACCTAACATATGTCCCTTACCACCAGTGATCATTAATGAAATTAATATCCATACGGAAGGCCGTACCGGAGTTTATATTGAACTTAAAACCCCAGGCAAACCTAACTTTCCTCTGGATAACTTGACTCTGGTAAGAAAATTTGATAATAGTACCGTACATCATGCATCCCATAAAATTCTTGCCTCAGTTGTAGTGGTACAGTACATTGGTGTTTAAGATGCATGTCTTTTAATTACAAGGACCAGGTTCGAATCCTATCAATGTCACTTTTTGTTCAGGACTAAGTAAACGCCTGCATTGAGGCTTATCTTATAGAGCATTTTAGTTTGTTTATGTGAAACCATGAATATTAGCAAGCTGGATCACAGCTTCAATTTTTCATTACTATGGCATCTTCAATGCCCATATTCTGACCTAATTCTGATTCTGACCTGAGGGGGCAGCTGACTTGAAAAAGTTATAGTGATTTGTTTGCTTAAGTTGATGGTCTAACAAATAAACTGAAACTTTAACTGACAATGGATTGCTGTTTAAAATGTAATGATTTACAGCATGAATGTGTTTTAAGCTTTATTACAAGAAATAACAAATTGTATATTCAGTATATTTTCGACTGTTAAAAAAATGTGAACCTCATACTGACCAGGGTTCTGATTTATCAAATTAGAAATTAGCTTAAATTTGTCTTAAGTCCATTTTTTTTGGCTCAAGTCAGATTTATCAATATTGCTTAGCTTAAAAATTGCTTTAAATTAAATTGTTGATTGTACGCATGCACCATCTAAGACAATTTAATTTAATTTATCAAAATGGTTTGATAAATCAGCTTAAAATATTTGCTTAGGGACATCTTAAAATTTTTGGCTGAAGACATTTGCTAAGCTGAGATTGATAAATCCTGGACCTGTTCTCAAAATTGCTCTTTTTCAATTGAAAAGGAAATGGTTTACCTGTGCTCCAAACTGCTTACTCGCAAACTACAGAGTTCATGAACAAAAATAACATAAAAGGCACTATACAGTCAGTAACAATAGATATTCTAAAAAAGACGATAATAATAATAATAATAAGTTACCAAGAGAGTGGAAATTCTTAAACAACTTACTACACTTTGTAGTAATTGAATTTTTTTTTCTTTGTAATTCTTTTATTCATTCTTTTTCTATTGTAGGTTGAATATGTAGCTGATAGCGACCTCAACAAATTTTCAGTTATTGATAATGTACGTACCAATAGGGATGGCCTCTTGCTACTAGCAGACTTTGGATCCCTATTACCAATGGACGCTTTGCTTTTTACTGGCCTTTCTGATTTGGGGGACACTGAGGGAGCTATTGCTCTTTTCCGCGGTGAATTCCGTGAAGTTTATTCACGAGATACCGCGACTTCTGAGGGGTTGGTGGATGCTATCATATTTAAGAAACAACATGGAGGTTCTATTTGGCAGGGGCCACCAAATATTCCTTTAACCAAATTTGGACATGTTGTAGTTGAGACGTTCGATGAGAGTGTGGTGGATGAGTCTGTAAATCGCTGTGAATACGAAAATGAGACGGTTTATGTGACAAGGACATTGAGCCCGAAGATGTTGAACCATTGTCCGCCGCATAATGTAGTATTGGTTATCAATGAACTCAATATGTTCCCGGCAGAACAGTATATTGAAATTTGGGATCTTGGGTTTGGATCAACTTCTCTTGGTAAGATATTTGTTTTGTTTTCAGGGGAGTAGGATAGTTTCATCCTGTGGGGGTAGTCCAAAAAAGCCAGGGGAAGGGGTTGCTAAATTTGAGAATGTGGAACTAAATCCCTATTCTAATGAAAACATTTGCCGAACATTTTTTAAATACACTATGTTCAAGTTAATAATTTTTATGTTACTTTAATTTAAAATGGATAATTTCAAAAATTAATTTTTAAGATTTTTTATGGTATTTTGTATGGAACTTAATAGGATGTCCAAAAGGAACAATTCTACTGTATTTAGAAGTTAGATATTTTAAAATTATTTTAATTGCAGGTAATCACTAATTTTAACAACAGCAAATTTAGACTGAAATTATATAACTGTTACATTATTTTTTAATTTGTTTTATTTTTTTAGATGGGTTTCTTATCGTTCTATTTAGTGAATCTGGCCACTCATATTTTACAATTGATTTAAATGGCTATACAACAGATCAGGATGGTTATCTAGTAGTCGGAGTACGAATCACTGAACCGTATCCAGCTTTGACATTAGCACCAGGTAAGTATCTAAAAAAAACTCAAAATAAAAAAAAAAACTTATTTTAAATATTAATTGTAAGTAATCCTCAAATAGTAATGTGGCGTATTAATAGAATTAATAATGATGATGATAACACTGATGATAATAATATAAATTTTAATCGCCCATAATCATGTTTTGATAGCAGCATAGCTTCATCAGCTAAACTGGTGGTAGCCACTGTGTCCACAACCGTGGAGATTCATTGTTGACCTTTGGTACCCAAATCCATATGTTACCCTCCTTGTGTATCGGCTGATAACTAAAATGCCAGTATAGAAATGCGCAACGTCTACAGAAGAGATGTTCAAGTCGTTGATCCTGTAGTATGCAGTACAGTCCATGTTCATGTTAGAGAAAGCACTACACACTTTGGAAAAAATGGTGGTTTGTCTCCCAGTGTACTGCCTAATCACCAGAAGGACCCTAAGTCTTTGTGGTTTATCCTTTGAGTTCACACCAAATATATCCAATCCAATCAAATTTTATTTATCATATTTATGGAAGGATAGATTGATGGATGGATTTATGTGGCGTAAACACCAAGGATAACCCACGGAAGTCTGAAGAAGTCTTATTACATGCGGAGTCCTTTTTGGTGGTGATTAAGCAGTACACCGGGAGACAATCCCTTAATCTTTTCCGAAGAGTGTATTGCGTTCTTTAACATCCACATGGGCCATAATGCACAAATTACCAACAGCTTAAACATGTCATCCAAAAGACGGTGCGCTATCATAACTTGCATTTCGACGCTCCAGCTGAAATACAAGGAGAGCAGTGATGGGAACTGAACTGGGAACCAAGAGATCTCCACGGTTCAGCACACACAGTGGCTACTACTTGTTCAACCGACTGAGGTATGCTGCTTATCTTAAAAATAGTGCGCTCTTTCTACCTCTTTGTGGTGGTTCATTTTACCGTACCTGTTCAGGTTTTATGAGGACATCCACTGGGGCTGTTGCTATTTATAAGGCTGCTTTTGAGATGTTTTCCGATCAAGGACTTACCACTCCTGTTGGGCTTATGGATTGTGTAGTATATAGTGACTTTAGTAGACCAGTGTATAGTTGGACTGCAAACCTGTATGCAAACCAACAACCCCCAGTAAGTTTTAGATTTTTTATCTATCTAAGAATTAGGATTTGTTATTGTAGGTGATTTATTTTCATTTTAAAATGTTGAGGATGATTGTGTTAGGAATGGTGTTGATGGTGTTTATGATTTTGACGCTGATGACTATAATGATGATGATGATGATGATGATGATGATGATGATGACAATGGTAATGATGATGACGAAGATGATACATGTTTAAAATGATGATAATGATGATGAAGATGATGATAATGAAGATGATGATGATGAAAGTGATGAGGATAATGATGATAACACTGATGATGATCTTGATAATGATGATGATAATAGCGATTACAATGAGAAGGTGAGTGCTTCATAAATTATGTGTCTGTATTTTCATGTTAATTTTCTCTCATTTATCGTCAATAGCTCTTGTCATCAATGTTCCAATCTTCCGGTCAGTCTCTTAGCAGATGTTTATCGCTTGATCATAACACACCTACACCATTCCTTGTATCCGATCCTACACCAGAAGCACTAAACGCTTGTCCCGTTCAGACGTATGATATCCTCATCAATGAGCTTAAGGTACGCCTTACATACTCAGGGTCAGAGTTCATTGAACTGCGAACTGCGAATGGAGAGTTCATGGAACTGAATGGCATCTCGGTTGTCTTGTACAGTGGCATTGATCAAGATCGGTCGTATAGGACTATCGATCTTACTGGTTACAATACAGATGATGATGGATATTTCTTGATTGGCAATGACGAAAGACGAGCTGGTATGATTTATTTATTTATTATGGCTAAAACTGTATTGCAATAAAATTACAAATAAAAATTGCATGTTAAAATACTATTTTACAAATATTTTTAATTACAAAAAAACAACTTATTTATCATACAAATTTATTAGATACAATCAAAGAGTATAAAAATCAAGTGGTTGACTGCCCTGATTTTATATGGATGCAATGGAACATTAAGAAAAAGTACTGTCACAAGGTAGGGAGCGCCCTATTAGAATTTGAAGAGCTCAAAACTCATCTGTCAAGGACATGCCCATTTGTGGCAATACTTTTTGAAATAGGATTACGTTTCAACGAAACCACAAGGGTCGGTTCTATACTCTTTGATGCAATCAAATGTTATTTACAAAAGTGAATACTATAAAATAGATTTAAATATATAAAAAGTTTCATAAAAAAGGACACATTTGGCACTGTAAATTTATGGAGAAAAAAAAACATTAAAAACAGATTATAATAATAATAGTAATGATGTTAATGATAATGATAATGCACTTGTAAATTGGAAATTTGCGCTAGACCCGTGGGTATTTGTGGCAGCCGCGCAGTACAGCACCACCTGACATTCAAGGAGGGACCACACTCCAATTGTAAGTAACAAACACTCACCGGGTTTGAACCTGTGTCATTGGTGCAAAATGCATAAACATTACCTCTCTCCAAAATAATATTTTACTACAGTAGACAACATAAACTGACAAATGTAATCTCCATCACCCTCACCCACTTGCCAACTGAATGACATAGAAAATCATGAAATCAGAACTATGATTTTGTTTCCATCTCAACCATCATCAAACCGCTTTATAACGTTGAGAAAAAGAAAGAGTTCAGTCTTCTTTCAGGACCCTAATATCCTGGTTTTTTCCCCCTTTAATTGATTTTCCTGAATATCTTTCTTTCATAAACATTCATAAACATTTATTTCAATTAATGGTAAATAATAATCCATAATAGAAGACAAAGTGTCTTGTCATGTATGTTTGCTGCTTCCATTTTTCTTCCATGTGGAGGCTTGGCTTAAATTCCTTATCTCCTTTGAAAATTAAATATACTGAAATTAAATGAGTTTTAACAATTTTGTGAATTATTAAACACATATTTCATTTTTTTGTGACATTGATTAATATTATTATATTGCTGATTTATTATTTATTTTTTATTTAATATGATTTTATAGCATACATATCTAGAAAACTGCTGAAGGCAGTTTTTTCCCTGGTCATTGGATACAGAATCCTTCATACACAATGTGCAACCTCCTCCGCTTCCTGGGGGGTATTCCTAGTTAAGCGTGTAATCAGCACTACTAATTTCATTCTGAATCATTCACCTCCTACCAGGTACCCATTTATACTCCTGGGTGAAGTGAGGCAAATGCAGATAAAGTGTCTTGCCCAAGGACACAAGCAGTGTGACAAGCATTGGTTCGAACCCCCGACCTTCCAATTGAAAGCCCACACTACCTTATACACTGTGCCACATCCTTCTGCTAGAGTTGTTTACTTCTCTTGCTATACCTACAACAAAAAATTTGTTTTTTGTAACTCCACAGATTATTTTATAAAGTCTGGTTTTTACGGCTTTCTTCAAACGGGTCCAGGTGCTGTGGCCATATATAGAGCGCCCTCTGGGGCATTCCTTCATGGGACAACAGTCACTACAACCAGCCTGATAGATGCAGTTGTTTACACATATTGGGATGATGACCCAAGTTCTCTTTTAGATGAGCTTGTACCAGGTGTGTTATGTATTTGTATTGATTATGAATAAAAAAAATAAATGAGGACAAGGAACATATTTTTTAAATGTGTGCTATGTATCCTGTTGAATATATTTGTTACAAATGTTACCTAATTTCTTGATGAATTATGGATCAGTTAGGTGGTATATGAATTGATTGATTGATTAAGTGATTGATGGACTAAGTGATTTCTTGATTGATTGACTGGGTGATTGATTGACTGATTTATTGGTTTATGAATTGATTGAATAACTAAGTGATTGATTGACTGACTGTCGCTTTACTTCATTGGTTGATTGATTGACTGACATACCAACTCATTACTTCATTTATCGATTGCTTAATTGACAATTTCATGGATTAGTTGAGTGACAATTTCATTTACTGAATGTTTCAATCATTAATTTATTGATTAATTCATAGACCTTTTGACTGAATGACTCATTGATTGATTGATTAATTGCTTTATGAATTGATTAATTGATTAAATTATTTGTTGATTGATTGGATTATTTGTGGATTGAATTACTGGGTGACTGAAAACTTCATTGATTGATTCATTGACTGACTGATAGGAAACACTATGGGGAATGTTTGTATCTAGTATGGATAAGAGTATTTATAATGCTACTGTTAGTCAGCTGCATCTGTTATCTATTCTTCTTGCAAGGTGCAAATTTAGTTCTTAATATAATAAATTGGTTCATTAGACACATCAAGCTTTTTATTAACATAATTTTCTCAGTTCTACAATAGTGTGATGTTTGTAGATTACACAATCAGTACATGAATACTGCTTCCTAGAATGATGCAGATTTAGAGTGCATTGAAAAAAGGGGTGTTTTTCCTTTTTTTTTTTTTAAATTCACTTTATTTTTCTTTCTAATATACTTACTATGGAGAACTTTTCTTATTTCTATTTCTGTTGATATAAGTCATCATGCATGTAAGAATATTGATTTAAAATTTAGTGTTGTCGTGGACAGATGAAAGTGCGCCGGTTTACCAGCTGCAGAGGTCATGAAGCGACCCTCAGGCGAGGAGAACGTTATTGAAAAGAGAATCATCTTGTCCACTGCGCCACGAGCAACGATTGTTGGAACGGCGCAATATAAATGGAACGATTTGATTTTTTTTTTTTTGTGTGTTTAATGGTTTTGAGTTATTTATTTTCTTGCAACAGAACAAATGATGATGGTTTTTTCCTAATTGGAAGTGAAAATATTACACCAAGGCCAAATATCATTGTGACTACGAACTTTGTTCAGAACGGACCAGATGCAGTCGTTCTTTATCATGCCACACTCCAGCAGTTTCCTCGAGGGTCGCCGATTTCCAAAGAAAATGTGGTTGATGCTCTGATTTATGGCACTAACGATTCGGGCGATAGAACTCTACTCAACACTCTAGCCCCGAATCAAATCATAGTTAATGAGAATAGTATGCACAACAAGGGGGAGGAGTCCATCTCAAGATGCCTAAGTCAGCTACCGGTCACATTCTCTGCTTTTGTGAACTCCCAACCAACACCAGGCACCTTTAATAATTGTACGTTGACAAAAATTCTAATCAACGAAGTGAATGCGGATCAGCCTGGGAATGACAATGCTGATTTTATCGAGTTATATGATGGTGGGCGCGGAAATGCATCTTTGGATGCGTTAGTAGTGGTGATATTTGATGGTAGTACCAGTAGAAGCATGAAAACAATACCTCTTCAAAATTATCGAACAGACAGGTAAAGAAAATGGAATATTTTAATATATTAATAATGAGGATATTGATAATATAATAATGATGATAATAATGGTGATGATATTGAGCAGTTATGCAGCATTTTAGGTTCCAACCTTGGAGTTTCTGGTCTTTTGCTATACACTTTGCTTTGCTGGTTTTAGCTGCTTATAGGGAGCTGAGGATGTTTTACATTTGTGTTTAATCCAGTGACTGGGGTTATAATGTAATGAGTGTAGAGGTAGTTTCTTACAATATGTGCTATGTTAATAATGCTTTTATTATTGTAATAATTTATTTTTTTCCAGCAATGGATACTTTCTAATAGGTCATGGATTGGAGAACTTGGACATAGATGTTAACAATGGAGGTTTCCTAAGCAACGGCCCTGGCGCTGTAGCCCTCTATAGAGGAGACCATCGTAACCTGAGTTTTGAACTTTTCCCAACAAGGACCCATCTTGAGGATGTATTGGTGTATTCAACAAACGAAGAAGTGAACTTAGGCCTGGTGACCAACCTTCTTCCTGGCCAGTCTGAAGTTTTGGAAAATGCCACTTTCATTGAGGGGGATGAAAGTATTGGACGATGCTATAACCAGGACTTACAGAGTAGTAAGGCCTTTGGACTTGGAAAACCAACCCCCAAACAACCCAACGTCTGTATCGATAGTAATACTGGTCAAGGCAGCAAACCACGCAAGTCCGAAATTGTTATCAATGAGATTAACCCGAGAAGTAGCTCAGACAATGGACCTCAGTTTATCGAACTGAAAGGTGATCCCGGCCATTATTTAGAAAGCTTCATTATAGTTCTCTACGAGATCCTAGAATTAGGTGCAAGAATATACTCTCGGTTCAGCCTAGGTAAGAACACTATTGGAAAAGATGGCTTCTTCCTGATAGGTGAGCAGGGAATGAATCCAACTGCAGACCTTGAAATAGGGAATGGTGCTGAAGAATTGATACATAGTGCTACATCTGCAGTAGCACTGTATCTTGGCACAGAAGAAGCATTCCCAATTGGAGGGATATTGACCACTGAAAACCTGCAAGATGCCGTGATTTACACCACGTTTAATACCTCAACTGCATCAAATTATGTTATCCAGCAGTTGGCTTCAAATCAAGGTGTTTTCTATGAGAATAACAAGTAAGTAGTAGTCATTAATTTTCAACCCTTTCTAGTCTGTACCACTAACATAGTGTATGGCAGCCATTTTTAATAAATGTTATTAGCATCAATCATTTTATTTTGCCCTATACATCAGGAAAACTAATTACATCATTTACAGAATTTGTCATTGAGGGCAGCAGAGCATAGTGGATTATAATTGAATACACACTAAAATTGATGGTAAATTAGGGCATTGCCAGGATGCCCAGTGTTTGGAAAGTTAGTCAATCTGGCTATCGATCAGATTACTCCATTTGGGTGGATCCACCCAATGCTTATATCATCTGATAGTTTTAACACTGATATATTTTGCTATTTACAGCATTGCTATTAAAAAGATATGAACTGAGTAAGAGTGAGTTGCATCTCATATGATTTGGTCCTGCATTAATATTTTTATCTTTCACCCTGACCTTTGCGAAGGTCTACATCTGCACCTGTATAAAAATTTAAACATGCTTCTTTTGTGAAGAACTCTTTGTTGTGTTTTCTAGGATCCTGTCGTATCAGGTGTCCATTAGCAGGTGTTTTTGCTGCCAAACAAGAAGCACTAATGCCTTCATGATGTCTGCCATCTCACCCAAAGAAGACAACACTTGTCCACTTAAGAAGTTCCTGAAGACAATCCAGATGAGATTGATAAATGCAGACTATAGCAAGTGGAAAGGAGACAGCTTTTTACTGTCTGCTTTGGTGGATGTTGTTGTTAGTGGAATCGAGAGCAAATGCAAGTGTGGCTTCAGTCCTGCATATTTCACAAGTGAGTTTCTATGTGCCTTTTTATGTGCCAAATATTAAAGATGTTTGGTTTTTAAAGGCATTGTTTGTCAAAAATTTTTTTCATTTTTGCTATTAATTTCTAGAAGTTTTGGCTTTTAAATTCAGTTATACCAAAAGAACTATTTGTCAGTGAATGAAGAGTGTTTGATAAAATTTTATCTGACAATGTCTGACTGGCTTCAGACATATCTGATCAAACACACACGGAAGTTGAACTCTGCTTTATTTCATCAGATATGTTTGAAGAAAAAGTATCCTGTTTGTCTGATAGTGTATACAGTACCTTGTGTTTTATGTGAAAAATTTGCCCATGTATGGGAAACATAATATATATTTTATAAATGGGCACAATGATGTCATGTCCAACCCATATATGAGCAAATCTCAAGTACTCCACATTCAACTTGTAGTGTGCACATTATTATTAGAGAGCTTTCGCTATCTCGTTTGAGAACTTATCCGCCGAGAAAGTTACCCGTTCTCGTTAAGAAAATAGTGAGCTTTCGCTGTCCCGTTTCACGTTCCCCGGAGAACCAACCCTTGGTGGCAGCACAGCCTGTTGCTACAGCTGTGGCATGCACTTGAGCCGTGGTGGCACAATGGCTAATTGAATGGTACAGAATACCTAGAACCTAGCCTATGACGAAATACATTGATTATGTGAACATCTGCAATCAGTATTAACCATGATTTTCTTAAGGTAGTATATAATAATTGAATATAAATTATATATAATAATTTAATATAAAATGTAATCAAATTTAATTGAAATGTTGCAAGTACATTCAGTTTCTGGTTCTCGATTCATCGCCCAGGATCCAGCATCTGAATCTCGGGTTGCGAGTACGAGAAAACTAAAACTAAGCCTAAACTGGTGATGTTATACACAAAAATATGCACTTTTCTCGGCAGATTGGTTCTCGAGGTAATGAAAGCTCTCTATTATTATTTCAGTTGTACATTGCTTGCCTTAAATTTAGTTAGGCGAGAATTTTTTTATACTTTGTTTCACTAAAGATCGTCAGAGGAGCGCAAATAGTTCTTAACAAAAACATCCAGATGGAGGAGAAATAACAATAAAATGCTATAGGTGGTTGCAGGTGCGCTAATTGGCCAGAAATAAAATTTTATTTTTATTCAAAATCATCATTATTGGTGGGCGGTTCACTTAACAAGGTATAATAAAAGTCTTGCCTTAAGAAAATCTATTCCAATTTAAAGCAAAATTTATATATCAGTCTCCCTATTAATTAAATTGTCTCCAATTTTTTTCCTTTAGGAAATAAGGTCCTAAATGGAAGTGTTGTATTTCAGACAGATATGTCAGCCATTACCAAAACACAGGCTGATCAGCTGTTTGCGAGTTATAAGTATTTTATCCAGAACACAACATCTGTAATTGTAGCCAGCCAAAACTTTACTGTAGATACCAGTTGCATTGTGGGATGTGTCCCTGATGATGAGTTCATTGTGCCAAGTAAACAAAGCAGCGATACTGGTGAGTTGGCTCTTCGTTTATGTTGCTTCGTCTGTTAAATGCTCATATATAGTCATGATGTGCCTATATGTGGTCATGATGTGATGTCATTATGACCATACTTAGGCAAATTGTTGTTGTGATCAGTTTCTCTTTGAATGTTGATGATTTCACAATTTTCTTGAATTTTATTTATTTTTTTTTGTGAATTTACAGGATTGAGTGCTGGTCTTGTTATAGGTGCAGCTATTGCTGTTGTTACATTTGTTGGCATAGTTATCGTTATTGTTTTCATCATTAGGAAAAAACATCTTTGCAAATGTAGAAAGTAAGTAAGAAAAATGTGATTTCATGTATAAGGCCATATTAATTTGATTGTTTGTCTCAAAGCTCCCATGCACATTAGTAAATTCATTCGCATTGTTCTCACCTAACAAGGTGGAAAAATATAAAAATAATATATTATATATATATAACGTTAACACTGCTGAATAAATATAATATAAATCATCAAAGGTACATATACAGTGTTAAATAAGGACATGATGGAACATCGTAGGCTACCCTGTAGCATTTCAACGAATAAAGTCCTATAAAAGTCATTGTGTAATAAAATGCCTCCAACGGGATTCGAACCTGCGACCTCTCGCTGACAAGGCGAGCGTCATAACCACTAGACCACGAAGGCTTCATGGTTGAACAGGTCCAAATAACAGCCGGGAACATTGTATTACACAATGGTGCGCCTCAAGAGGGCGTTCGGCCAGATAACCGCCGGGAACATTGTATTACACAAACTGTGCTGTTAAGCATATTGGGCAACAAGCCTTCTCCAGTATCTTCTATCAGCCGCTGTTCTCTCAATATCATGCCATTTGAGATACATTGCCTTTATATCATCTAAGATACTGATCACAAAAATTATTTATTTTATGAACTTTTTTTAGCATTAAATTTCTGAATTGATAATTATTTATCCTTAATAAATTATCTATTGATATTTGTTGCAGGTCATTGGATATAGATGTTTTTAAAGTTACTAAGACCCAAGAGCTAAATGATCTTGATGTTCTGGGCACAGTTTATGATGTTACAGCGCCCTCTTCAGTTAGTGGGTCTGTACCATTTCAGCCTTAGTCTTCCAGTCTGTATAGAGGTCAATCTCACCTTGAAATGAAAGAGAGCAACTTATTTCAACCAAAAATAAATAAATAAAATAAAAAGTTTATTGTTTTTAATATGATAAATATATTGAATATATAGTGTTTTCCGGTGGTATTTCTTCACTGATTGGGATGCATTCCCTTAACAGTGGTTTATCAAGGATTTAAGGGATGGTGTCAAGTTGATAAGTTTTAAGTTTTTATCGAGTTGTTGCAATATCTAAATCTTACTTCATTATATTTAGGGTGTGCATAATTTGTAGGAAGTAAGGAGTTTTAGGTATTCCCAACAGTGGTAGAGAATACACGTTTAAATGACTCTGACAACAGTATACTTAATTTAAAAATCTTGCATTGTCTACACATCTGCATGAATACCGTAGTTCCCTGTATATAAGCACATCTCGAGTATAAGCCCATTCCCTGCTTTACATCCTGATTCATGAACCAGTGTTTACTCATGATTATGCCTAGGGTATCATTTGAAGGAGTAGCTCAGCTGACTTATAAATACCTGCAGAAATATTTGCCTTTTGATTGGCCGTCCCTATGAATTTAAAGTTGTTTGATGAGCAGAGATTCCCCGCGTATAGCCCCCACCCCCCAAAAATCAGCCCAAATTCATGTTTAAGGGTGTTGGGCTTCTACACAAGGACCTATGGTATGTGTAGTTGGGGTGAGTCAGGCATGCAGTAAATTGAGTACTGTATACTCATAGTTTCATTAAATGATTTGATAAGTATTACGTAACACTAAAAATTCCATGCCAGTGTACAATACATAAAAATTGGTTATAAAATAAGAATTAAATTTAATTAATTAATTAATTAATTGGCCTATTATAATATATGCATTCCATTATTGTGGTTGGAATCGTTTAAACTTCTTTAAATTCAAAAGATTATGGTGTTACAAAATTATTCTTCAACTGCAGAGTTTGTAGGATTGAATCTGTTAATTTCTATTTAATATTATTGCATGTTTTTAATTGTTATGATGATATCTGATGATATGCTATATAAATAGAAAATATATAGTCTTCATTAAATTTGCAATTTTTATATAAAATATTTTATAAAATAAATATATATCACATCTTTTTCATTTTTATAATAACGATATTTTGAAAGTTGTTCTTGAATTCATGTATTGTCTTCTCAATTAATTTGAATTTTTATATATAAAGCATTTTATTATTAAGATGGTAATAGCAATGACAGGGTTTTACATCATTTAGTGAGAGACTGATTTGAAGTGGCAAAGTTTGTTTGTCTTTCATTTTTTTAGTGTACTGCACTTGCGCAGATACACTCTATGCTGTGGAAGAGAAATTCCTGTGTAAGATTGGAATGTGTTAAGGTTCACTTGAGGTCATATAATTTGACACATGTCAAGTACAGTGTGTTGATAAGATGACCAATGGCTGATAGCACTTTGTCTGATAAGAGTAATTTTGACTTAGTTTCTGCAGACTGCAATATACTCATGCTCCTATCAAGAGCTTATTTTTTAACACACTGCACTTGCGCTGATATACTCTATGCTGTGGTAGTGTAGTAGTGGAATGTGTTAAGATTCATTTCAGTTCATTTTTTTAATTTGACAGGCTTGCCAAATACAGTTTGAATATAGTTTTATCAGGGAGTTTGTACTTGATCCTACACTTTGATAAATGGCTCATAGCACCTTGTCTGATAATGGACTTTGTTTAGCGTAATTTTGACCTAGTTTCTGCAGTATACTCATTCCCCTATGAGAAGCCTATTTTTATGATAGGATGTGGATGGTGACTGCAGAATGGGGATGATGATGAAGGCAGGGGCGACTACAGTAATGATGATTATGTTAGGATGACTGATGATGATGAGGATGATGGTGATGATGTCGACAGATAACAAATGGCTTATATTGTATAAACCCATTCATGTATTAGGACACCTCCATTACTGAATGTGATTATGATAATTCATAAGATGATTTGCGATAATAATTTCAATAACAGACAATGCAATTGAAGATTTAAAGTTCATTTTCTATGTTAAAGATTTTTTGTTCCCAAAAAAAAAATAATAATAATAATAATAATAATAATAATAATATTCAATTTTGAAATTAATTTTGTCATTTTGAATTCACATAAAAATATCATCAAGGAATTATTGTATTAAAAAAGGTTTTTAGTAAAATCAGCAAAACCTGTGCCTGATTGGATGTTGGTAGGCCTAAGTTATTATTAAATGAGTACTGTAATTTATTGTTTAAATGAATGAGGGTTTAGTAGATTTTACCATAGAAATTCAATGAATTCATTTCATTGCGTTGACCAGGGGCGGATTTAGGGGGGGGGGCAGCCCCGCCCCCCTCCTCCTTTTGGGAGGTAAAAAAAAGTGGGAAAAAAAAGAAAGAAAAAGAAAAAAATGATAGCCCACAACGCCTCAAATGTTGTTTTCTGGCGTCTAGAACACAAAACCCCCTAGGACATTGTTGTCTCGATCGGCCCAAATTTCGGCCCCCCCCCCCTTTT